ACCCTGTGCATCGAGGGGAGTGTATGCATGACACCGAAGCGACAATAACGAACGTTGTCGTCATTTCGAATTTCCCGTTCCGCGAAATCCCACCTGCGATAGATTTTTATATTCTCGATTCACTGACCACCTCCCACCCCTGGTTCGCATTTATTATCGGCACCGGTGCTCCCCATATCATTCGTCGACACTTTCAACGGAATAGCTCCAAGCAAAATGTACAAGGAACGTACAATAACGAGTATTATGAATTTCTGTTGAAAATATTAACGATACCCGATCATTTTTTGTCCGTCGGTATAGTTACGATATAGTGGATTCCAGCGAAATTGATATTATTTTTTGCCAAGGGTTCTCAAACTTTTTCCGAAGTCTTCTACGAAACATAAATATCAACCGATACGAAAACATACGTGTTTAATATTATTCAATGATCTACTTCTGCATCAAGTTTTACTGCAATCAGCATTTACATCAATAGTTGGCTGATGCAAGTGAAACAAAAACATAACCTTGCCATTTAAACAGCGTGGAACTCCTCAATCAGCGAGTTGAAAAATCTCCCAAACGCTCCGCGTCCCCACAAATTCTACCCTCGTTCGTTTCAATGATTAAAAATACACGCGAAATAAATAATCGTCGCTTCGTAGGTGCGATGTACGTACGGGGTATCGGCACATGGTGTGATCGGCGCAAATGTGGCAGTAACGAAGGAGTGGCGGTGATATTGTCCCAGGTAGCGCGCAATCACGGCCGCCCGTTAAGAACAATAAGAGGCAGAACGAGATACGAGCTGTCATTTCGCCGGTTCCCGCGGACTTTCAACGACCGAAAATCTGTCGCGACATTCTATCTTTTGCGTTTCACTGCTGTCGGGTAATCTCGCCGCTACCTTCACCCCGCGGCAATGTTTTCGAAATCGATTTTCCAATGAAACAGTGACAACCTGGCGCCACGAACGATAATATTTCCTCTGCTGGAAATGGAGACCCGTTCGTTAAGAGGAAGGCGATGAGAATAAACTCGGAGCATTTCTTCCTGTAACGACGATTCAGTCTGTATACGTTTCCAAGGGTTGGTTTCTGGATTCCTAGTTAACTTTCTACTTCTTCGGCTGGTATTTCCATAGACGCTACTCGACAACTGTTTGACCTCTTTCGACCGTAATGAACAGACAACAACTAATTGACCTCGGGAATTTGTTCCCTTTGGTGTGATGTAAATTACTACAAAAATGGATATCCCAGCCAAGGAAGCTCATTCAAATCTGTGCAACCAACAACAAGACCGGATTCTCAAGTCTAGCTCGGATCTGCACCAAGCGCAGTTTCATCAATCGCGGAACCTCCCTTGTCAGATAGGGATTCTAAAGGTCCCATTTCCACGGCAGCTGAGCCGAGAGCTTTGACATTTCCCTGCGCTGCAACACCCGGCAGGCATTCGAAGCACTTGTTAGAATTAGAAGCAGCCGCGTTCGAGCGAGCTCGCGACATTGCGCGCGTGTCGTCGATGAGGAATGCGCGACACCCCTGTACGGAGACAATCTCGGGCTCGCGGGCCCCGATATCGACAATCTAAATTTACTGGCCGTGTTCTGACGATTTCGAGCTCCGTTTCGACACCTAAGACGACGGATTCCGTGGCCATCGACGCGCTAGGATATCGATACCGTTGGATGTAACCGGAAACGAGAAAATGAACACTGACTGCTCGAGTGTATGTACAATAAAACCTCGATGACTGCGAATCCAGTTGGTTGTATTCGCGTTGACAGGTGGGAGGGATGGTCTCTTAGCAACGATGGAGGTTGCAGATGGAAGGAACAGGTAGCACTGCGGAGGAGCCGTGAGGAATTCCCTTGAGCGCTGTTCAAGATGCGAGGGAAATTCGTCCTTTCGCCTGTAAAATCCGATTTCGAGATGGTAATGCCATTGGTCATTAGTTTATGCGATGGGAAACCGTGAGTGATGCCGTGGATGATATTTTTCAATAATCTTGATCTGCAAATCGCAACTCCACTCAGGAAAGGCTCGCTGGAATAGCGATCGTAGGTGGAGACATACTTTAAAAGTTGGGGTGTCATGATTTTTCCAACGGGTGATCTAGGATTTTAATTTTGAATAACGAAACACGGTTGGGCGACTCAATCTTCGCGTTTAAATGTAATCGTGTGCACTTGAAGTACGTTCGAAAGCGAATAATATTTATTTGTAAAAGAATTTCCAATACCCTGTGCTTATCAAATTGAAACATTGCAACGCTCTGTGTTCTCCCACTTGAATTTCGCAAAATTAGCTGAAGACCCCAGACCTAACTAGGTGATCTAGGATTTTAATTTTGAATAACGAAACACGGTTGGACGACTTCATCTTCGCGTTTAAATGTAATCGTGTGCACTTGAAGTGCGTTTGAAAGCGAATAATATTTATTTGTAAAAGAATTTCCAATACCCTATGCTTACCAAATTGAAACATTGCAACGCTCTGTGTTCTCCCACTTGAATTTCGCAGAATTAGCTGAAGACCCCAGACCTAACCTTGACGTTATTTCATGACTTTGATTAGAGGATCCCTATATCGTACAAGTTTGAAACTCTGTCGATTGTGTTTACCAAGCGCAGTGTCTCTTGTTTTAGACATAGTGACACCCGACCTGGTCCTGCGAATCCCCAAGTCGTCGGTATCGAGAATCCAGGGCGTCCATATTGGATTCGATGTAGTCTGAATTAACATGTATCGGATTTCAATGACCCGAGCCGGTTGGTATTGGATCGCATGGTTTCAGAATACACGATCCTTTCTCGATTAAAATTTTAGTATGTGCTATGTAGCTTTATCGTACCCGATATGTATATAAAAAGAGATTTTATATAATATTCTTTCGGTATATATTTGACAAAAAAATATATATCATTAATAATAATTGCTCAAATATTGCAGAAGCATTAAATATATATATCGACGACCTGATTGCGCCTCTTAAGCATTTATTGTCCCGGACTCGGAACGAATCGATAAAATTAATCCATTAGAGGCATCTGTGCGCTCCCAAAATTCTCCACGCGAGTTCTGGAGCTAATGTACAGAGTGTACCTAAAAAGTGTATTCGCTATTGGACCTTGGAGCTTCCATGTAGAAGTAAAGGAATCTCGATACGAGTTATTCAAGAGCCTCAAATGGTTCTAAGAGCTCTGAAGTCTAAACAACCCCCAACACAACACAAGTCCTCAAATGATCTCACCCTGTATGCATCGCGCTTCCAACAGCCTTTATCCGTTCAACTTTTGTTCGCCAACCGGTAACAATCAAAGGCAACGATCGATACACGTTTGATAATTGATTCGTCGGTAATTCTGCAGCCCTTCCGCATTTCCATAGGGTGGAGCTCGTTCGCCATTAAAATCTCCAAGTTGGAAAACTTGGAATGGTCTCTTATCTCGAGCAAGCGGCGTTTAATCGCGTTTGCTGGTTCCTTGAATTTTTCATAAAGCCCCAACGGTAAACGTGACGTTACACGCTACCCGAGGGAGGGCGTGCAACCCCTGTTAAAGAACCCCCTGGTCCCAGAGAACAACGTTGCGGCCAACTCCGGCGAAAACTGCGCCCCCCCCCCCTCTTGCAAGACTTTTCTCCGGGCAAATTTGTATATTTACGGGCGATTAGGCGGCCAATTATCCCGCGTTTAATTTTTATTTCGACAACCGTGGCGAAGTTTCCGACGCTTGGTATCGTTCCCTCGACGGGAAACGCTATAACGCGTAAACGGGGCCGACAACTCCGCGCAAGTTGGACGATTCTTGGATGTTCAGCACGTGTTTTCATTTCGTTATCCCGCCAGCTCCTTCCCATATCATTACTGTTTCAATACGCGCGGGAGGTGGAAAGTTTCCGAGGTGGTGAACCTCGCTGAGCGTATCTGGTCCGCTCCCCTTTCTTTGCTATCGCGGTTGCGTAGGGATGGGGAAACCAGAACGAAAGAAGAACACGTCGGGAGGCACGTGTAACCGAAATTTTATATTTCATCTCTTCGCGGTTCCAATTTTTACGGGATGGAGGCAGAACGATTTTAAAGAAGGTCATTTCTCACGAGCGATTGATAAAATGTTCTCCGAGTTGAAAGTGTGTCTACACCTATAACATTCGCGGATAACGCACACAAGTATGTCTCTAAAAAAACTATTACAGTTTCCTTGAGTTTCCTCGGAACAAATGGTACGATGAGAGATTATTTAATTCTCATTTTTATACGCTGCATTAGGAGTACCTGCCGCGCCTGAGTGGGTACTCGCACGCTAAAAATAGGCCAGTGACATAGTTTATTAATGAAATTGCCCCGATAAGAGGACTAATTGCTGTTGCATGTTACCGCGAGCAACCATACTCGGCTTCGCGCACCTAAGCGTTCCGAGGGCTTATTTAACGGACTTTCTTTAACGCGTTGAAATATCTTCCACGCGAGTTGCGTTAATCGCGCGAACCATTGCGCCGTCGCGGGAACGTTGTTGTTGATCCTAAGACGAATTAATTCTCTTCTTGTCTATGCCTGAGCGAGATGGCACGTACGCGAAGGGGAAAGATCAATTTGGTCCCTGATAAAGTTTATCTAACAAGCGCGTTAGCCTGCGAGAGCCTCCGAGGAGAGCTCCTTCCTTCAATCGCTGACGCGTTCCTCGACGACGGAGGTGTCATATTTTCCAAACGAAATGAGTGATTAGCACATACTTGCCATTGAGCCTCGCCTACACTCCAGAACAAAATTCCAGCACGCATCTTGTATCCACTAAAAGGCATTCCAAATACTTCGAGCTCTGTTTTTTTTAACGAAAGACAGATATAAAGGAGGTTGCCTAAACTGAATCGATTCTAACAGCTATCGCTAATATTTTATTTGAATTCTGTCAATATTATCACCGGTATTTGATTTGTATTTTATAAAAGTAAAATCAGTTTTTATTTGTCTAAATATTACAATTTACAACTGGTGTAGACAAACCTCCCTTATTATTTATGTACAAAGTGTCTGAAAATGCAAGAGTAAACCCAAAACGTACAATAACGTTTTCCCATACAAAGCTTCGTTTCGGTGAAAATCGATTTCGAAACCGTCGGGGTTACGCTCTAGTGTTATTAACCCTTTGCTGATGGAGCAGTTTGAAACCGAGCAATCACTGTGGTCCTACCACTTTTTTATATGTCGCAAAAAAAGGCGCACGCATGTAAAAATAGAAATAAAATGGAGCCAACTGTGATTACTATGGTAACTCTCGAAACACGAGCACGTGTATTCATCGAGTCCTGTTGATAATTTTTTTCTTCCTCTCCGAAACACACAGAAAAAATCAAGTAATCAGTGCAACTTTTATTTAGTCTGCGAACGTTTTGATTGTAAGAGGCTTAACGTGAAATTTTCGAAGGGTTAAGCGATGTATCGATCGATGCGCACGCAAATTTTGATTAAATATTTAAGTATCGTCTGTCTGCAGAAAGTAGAGGAAGACGGATAACGAAAGTATAAATAAATAAACAGGAAGATATTTTCTTAAATTAAAGACGAGCGAGTCTCTAAACAAATTCAACCAGCTACGTTTACATAATTAACTACCTGCAGATCTGGTACATGTCTGGGAGTATCTTTATAATATTCGAACACGTAAAAGCATAATACGTTGGATTCGGATACGACGTACCAAGGGAAGGGAAAACCTAATTATCTCTTTCGTTCCTGACGACACAGAAAAATGTTTGAAACGTAATTTGAAAAGCTCCAAATGGCGTATTTGCATAAGATCTAATTACGCAAAGGCATTTAAGAATCGTCCATTGTGGCCGAGGTTTCACCACCCAAACCCTTATTTAAATATTGCTTTCGCCAGGTGTGACGATATGAAAATCGTCAGTAAATTAGAGTTGGATTATAGAGTTTTCATTTTCGTGTTTTCTGGCACTTTAGAAAATCCACTCGAAGACAAACTTTGGAGAACTGGAAGAAGAAGGTATTGTTATTAAATATTGAGCAAAGATATTTTATGAATACGAGGCTGGGATCTGGTTTGCTTGGATGAAAAATCGACTTCTTTTATTAATTACATTTTCTAAAGGCTGGAGACCTTAAAGTTACGTCCTTAAACTTTATGGCGATATTCGAAGATTTATAAAAGTTTGAGAGAACACTATACGGGTCGTAAAAACACAACTTGAAACGTCAAGGGGCTGCATACACCCATGTGGGTCGAACTGTTGATAAAAACACAAAGTTCAAGATGTATCAAAGGATTTTCAAATAAATGGAATTTTTTTACCCTGAACGAAATTGGCAAATTCATCTGACCTCGTCCTAGGCACATGTATCAGAGCTTGGGCAAACGTTACCCCGAATGAAGCATAAAAATTCCAGATTTATTCTCAGGAATAAAAACAAACGAATCTGTCGCTTACTCCGCGGGAGACTGAATAATTCACTTGTTTTTCTTCCCGCGAATAAATCTGGCGCTTTTATTCCAAAGATGATGGCCAAATGCAACTCCAAACTACATTGTTATAGTAAATACTGCGCAATAAAAAATAAATGTAAACATATAATGTATTATTGACTGACTCGATTTACTCACCGTAGCTTTCAAGATATTCTTCTTCAATAAAACTCAAGTGGTACGTAACATATATCCAACCTTTTCAATTTTAATAAAATCATGCTCGATTGCAATTGAATATAACAGATGTTGAAGACACCTTTGACGGACCCTTTACACTCGGAATCAAGTCTGCCCACCTCCGGGACCTCTCGCGAGTCAAACGCAGCTCCGCTAATTCTCCCCAAATCCTCCAAAAACCCGAACGTGATGCGACAATTTCCAGTTACAGATTCCTCGAGCCCCCAGCTTCCAAGTTCCACTTCATTTCCGCTGAACCGGGGCGAGCCAGGGCTTGCGCATAATATCGTAAAGTTTCGTTAAGGACTGTCCGGCAGATTTTCCTCCCAAGCCAATATCGTGTTCATGTCCTTAATGTCACGTGTGCTCCATGGCTCGAGCGGATCCGTGGGCGACGTCGGTGGCGAAACCGCCTTATTCCGCTCGATCGATTCTCTTCTCCTCGGTGCAGGCTCCTCTATTTCCTTGGGCGATACCCTGTGTGCATGCATCGCGCAGAACAAGAACCATTAAACGAACGGTCAATCGGACGACGGTCTTCGGGGCCCGGGCGTAAACATAAATTTCAATCGAGAATAAGTAAACGGATTTTCGGCTCCGTCGATTCGCCGGGAAGGAACCGATAAGACGTTTCAATTTTTCCTTTGTTATGCTAGAACAGTACGAGTCTGGGAAGGTGGTGAGGGGGGAGGGATCGCATATTGAATACGCGACTGCGACACGAGACGGTGTACGTATAAACAAACATTGCATTATATCAGAGTTTCAACGTGAGTTTTGTTAGGTTTGCATCCTTTCAATTTGGTTTTCTCGCGATCAACTTGTCCCGTATTTATGGCCATATGCGAGCGGGGATTGCGTTTGTTTGCCCTAGGGATCTGCGTGTTCGACGAGTGGGTAATTTATCGCTTTATCTTTTATAAATGAATCGCCGAAAGACTTTGTATTAACTCTTTGTGAGTGAAAATCAAGCACGACGATGCGCTCTGATTTTGTTTTATTTGTTATCGAGTATACGTGTAGAATTTCCGGGGAATTGTATCGCAATTTCATCCGTTACAAGAAATAAATGGTTCTCGTCCGCGAAGAGGCTTCGAAAGCATTACGTTTCGTGCCCGTGAAACACAAGAAAGACATTTCAATTTGCTTTCGAATATAAACTGCTACCGTTACTGATTGCTTTTGCCATTTAAATTCCTTCTCCCCTGACCAATATCACGTTCGTTATTTCCAATCGTGTTACCGAACGCTTGCATATGTCATGATCCAATTAACGCGACAGTTTCACGGTACCGTGGAATTAATTTAAAAAAGATCGATGCCGTAATCGATCGTTTATTACATCAAGGTTTACGAAATAATTGTGGAACTCGGCCCTTTTATTCGAACGGACTCCAATAACAGACGATAGCAGCCTTGGGCTAACTAAATGACATTGTAAACCATCCAATCTCACTTGGATTACTTGTTTCGCAGTGTCATTCATCAATTAGGCCGTTTCCATCATCTTTGGGACAGATATCGTACGACAAATCGATGGATGGAGCGGGTAACATGGTCCGTATACCAACGAGCACGTAACAGTTGATTCGTTATATTTAACACCAGATTTACAAAGACTTTTTGTACATCTATCTCGAGTTAAGAGATACCACATTGACCTAGCGTTAACAACAAAAAAACAACGAAACCGTCGCGTTAGTTGAGAAACACTGCTCCGGTTTAGCTTATTTTTTCGTGGAATAATAAATGGGGAAGACGTCCCATTACGATGATTAATCGCAACGATGAGAATTGCCACGCGGCTTAATTCTGTCGTAGGAGTTCGAATGAAAGACGAGGGACGTGTCCGTGAAAGTGGCCGCGAGCGGAAAATCCGAGGGAAACAGCGACGAATCTAAATAGGAAATCTATGTTCCGATATTGCGTGTTCTTGAGACCCAGGCATGTCGACACAATCGATCGTTGATACTGTGGCTGTGCCAGAATCGGCGTGACTCGCCGCGAACCATTGTAACTCCGCCATTATGTTGTAATTATTGTTCCGAGTTTGGCCAGAAAGTTGTACGATTCTATACTTTCATTTCCATACCAATGGACATTGGTTGAATGTTTCCGAGTGTATAGAACGGAATGTCGTTGTAGCTAGGAGGACTTCCGGCGAAGTTATTCGATTTTAAGAATGGAGCAGTATAGTTCGACATTCGACAAAAATTAGTTTTGTATAATGTAATATATTTTATACTGCATATAGAAATATATAATTCGTGATGTAGATCCGTACTGACGGTTCGGTTGAATCGATCAACAAAGTGGTAGAAAATTATAGAAAAATGTCCATGGAAATCCTGTGAAATGTTAGTCGAAAAACGCAAACGCTGTACTAGATATTTTGGTTACACGTACATCGTGAACTGATTGCTCGATGTCCTCCAGTTCGAAACAGACACTGTGCCTGATAATTATCTCAGACTCCTCGAGGTCGAATTCAGTTCCTAATTGAAATGTACGTTCAATTGTCATGAAATGTAAACAGTGCTGAGAGAACAGGACAGTATATATCGGAAATACAATATCGACAGTTCCCATCGAATGCTACAACGTTTGAAACGTCTACTGAAATATCCAATTTTCAATGTAGTTGCTTTATATCGCTTTCGCGTGAAGCGCGCCGACGAGGATTGGTTTATGTTGAAAAAAAAAAAAAGGAAGAAAAAACAAACTTAAACCGTTTCGCGAGAGAAATTGCAAAATACGATCAAAGAGAGATAGACGTCGTTGAGCGACGCAACACCTTTCTCTATCAAATTTATTCTATTTTCGCTTAAAAGAGGGCTACGGTTCGCCTCGAGTCCCTGAAAACACCCTGTATAATCGATGAGGTACGAGTCAGCGAAGAGTCGGGAGACGAAATTCTCGAAATAGCTTTCTTTTCCATAAATTGTGGAGATACTAAATTTTGCAAGGATCTGCTCGACACACATTGCTTTATAACCAACGGTTTCCCTTCGAGAAATCGAAGACTTCGATCGGCTATAGAGCGCTGTCTCGTTTCCCGATGCAATTACTACTTTCCTGTAATGGTATACACGCGTATATAAGATGCCTCCTTAGTTTTGTTAAGCAACTCTACTTAGACTTCAAACGACTGTTGCCACTCTCGATAACCATCCTAACAAGCGGCTTCGATTCCGCTGCGTACCTAGACCTACTGACCTCGTAGATAGGTACTCTCAACCCTCTCGGTCGGCAAAAGAAAAGCAAGGTACTGCATTCTATGTGTGTTATTTAGACACAACTTTGTAGAAACAGTACTACAAAAGGTATTTTCAGTATTGTGTTCTAAAGATTTCAATCCTAATTTCTGTTGAATCACGAAAGCATCATTCTATATCGTAGAATAAGGGGTATAACGACTGTCTCGATGCTACGGGAACACCAGTGCTCAACTATTCGAGGCCCAGACACCGGGTGGTGCGTAAGCTGAATCCGCAGAAGCCAGTTCCAACGATCCTCACTGGATTCTATATGAGGATTTCAGCTCGAGTGGACTCGGAACCCACGTTAAACGCGAGTAGTGTTGAAGACGATTCCGTCACTCGAATTCGATGTAAAAGTCGTTACTTGAATGCGGGTATTAAAGGTAACCCGATTCGCGGCAACCTCGTTCTGCATCTATAATCTGTCGACAAGAATTTCATCTTTCTCGACGAGATCCACCTTCCAGCGCGGTTATATCGTATTACCCTGCGGTATGAATAGTGCAACTGTGCACCGCAACTACGCTACAAACCACGAGTTCCGTCGAATCCCGACACTCAATCGATTACAAGTTTATTTTCGCGGTTCCGGTAATACTGGAACTGGGGGAATTTGTATGTCTGGGTGCTCGTATTAATGAACTTAGCGAATAAGTGATGTTATGTATATACGATTCAAAGAGAGTTTGCGTGGGCGTTTTGGGACAAAGGAACAAGGATTTCATTCTTCTCGACGAGGTTTATGTGCTATAGAAACTATACCGTGAACCAGGAGCTTTCGATGTTCGATGGATTAAGAGGAATTTTATGGCTTTCATAGTTCACGTGATACTGGAACTGGGCAGGCCCTCTCGAATCCACAGAGGGTGGAGCATCGAGGGCGAAAGTGCAGCTTACTGACTTGAAATGTATGTATCGATAATTTTAGAATGTCTCATGGTATCTCAGCAAAGGTTACTTCAAAAAATAGTACAGAAGTCCCATCTGTATTATTTTTAATAATTGTATAACCTGCAGGATTGCTTCCGTACCTGTTTCTGGCCGTTTTGGGGCGACGCTTATGAACTTTGCTGGAAGCTCCGTTCTGGTTTACTTGGGATTTAATTGTTTCGGCGGACCCGGCACGACCTTCAATTTGACGGTTCGACGGGTTCACTTCGGGATCGTTGAGCAACGGCTGGTATCGAGGATTTCCGTCGACGGATGTGGAAGACGTGGACGACAGCTCGTCGTCGCCGTGCCGTGAACGTCTTCGTGTCGTGATAAATCTGTTGTTCGCTGATCTTATTCTGCGAAGACGTGCCTCGGTTCCGAGCAGGTTGTCGCCTATGGTAAGGCGATCAGTTTTCTTAGGGGTAGGGTAACCGTGGTGTCGCCGTCAGGAAGTAAGTTCATCTTTGCAATTTATCATCCTGGCCAGATTTATTCCTTTATCATAATTTATCGCGATATCCAACATTCGGAAAATGCAAAATTCCCTTCACGCGGATAACAGGTGACTCGTTTCGATTGTATCGTTTAGGCGAGAGGGACAAGGACGAAAATTTGAAGATAATTTAAATTACTCCCCAACAGGAATTTATATCCGAGGTAATAGAAACTAAGGAATATTATTTAATCGAGTCCTTTAACCGAGTAAAAATAGAAACTGCTGAGTTGTTAATTGATTCTCCTATAACGACAAGTCAAGAAAGGATTTATTATTACCGCCAAAGTCGTTGTCGCTGGATTCGACGAAATATTGCTTTTTGACGACCGTGGTCTGCTCCTCCACGGGTATTTTGGTCATGGTAAATTGTTCCAAAATGTTTAGATTTACTTTAGAGCTTGCTGAGGTCTCGGCGCTTGCCAGGACACGTTCCGCCATTTTTTTTAGAATTTCAGGATCAATCGTATTTTCAGAAGCAATCACGAGGTCCAAAAGAGGATCATTGATATCCTCAGCGGTAGTATCTGGAACATAAATGTATATTTAGAAGAAATGAATGACCAAACAGTCGGCAATCATCGAGAATCGCATTGTGATGTATTTGCAATGGTATATTATAATTACTGTACAATGTAACACGAATTGTATCGTAAGTTTTTCGTTTTTGTAGTAACCAGATTGGATCCTGTAAGCAATGTCCTCGTCATTCATACCTCCATATGAAACCTCCGACGACAGAAATAGACTTGTGTTCGTTACTTTAATATATAGAGTCGATTCCAAGTTTTATTAATGTTCCGCGCACAATGCTGACGTAATAAAAGTTGGTGGAGCCGCGTTAAATCCTGATGAATGTGAATCGTTTCGCGCCAAAAATGCTTGTTATGCATCGAAGCTCGCAACGCCGTTGAAAAAATGATAACATATCGTTTAGTCGATTTTAACTGGAGTAGATTCGAACCAAAGATTCGCAATTTCACAAATAACTGTTTCTACCTGATCTAAACGTCAGATTATTCAAATCCTCTGCGTCGCAATTTTGAAATGGAACCACGTATTTTGTAACCGAGAGAGACCTTACGATAACGAGAATTGATTCGTAGAACAGACACAGTTGCGAAGTTCTTATAGCGAAGAAGTTAATGTCTCCCGAAACTTCACCCTTAAATATGATTTAAACTATTAACTGGGAGCATCAAAAACTACTTATCATTATCACCGTTATCTTCAAGCTCTACTACTACTCGGAAGCTCGTTTAAATATTCGCGAGCACATTGGCGAAGTCTCGCAAATGAGTGAGAGTGCAGAGAATATTATTTTAATGAAACGACTATTAAATCGACTGACGTTCGTAACTGACACGATGAAGTCAATTATTGTATCCAATTCTAGCGAACTAATTCAAAAATGTTCTCGTTCAATTCCTAGTATCGTTTCGAGGTATCGAACAGGTGTCGAAATACGTTGTCATTGATATTACTGTAACTATTAAGGTACGATTGTCGTCATCTTTTGTAATATCGATACAATTCAGGTAACAATGTGTCATTGAAACTTCGATAGAAGAAATACGTAGCCGATGAGGATTATTGGAATGTTTTTATTTCTCACACTTACGACTTGCATTCTTTTGGTTCATTTTCTGCACGTTCACAGGCTCGCTTGGCTTCGGGTTTAGATCACTTCGACCATTTTGTTCCTTGTTCACGATCACCTTGGGTGGATCCTCCGGGGGTTGAACGGTTGTCGACACTCTGTCCTGATTATTAGATGCTACTTTTGTTTGATCGTTCGAAGTCTTTGGCTTCGATGGTTTCGGTTCGATATTGGTTGGAATTCCTTCCGTGGCGGTGGTCAAGTCTATATCATGGGCGAAAGCCATCATGTCCAGAGCTGTAGTCAAAGCACCCCCAAAACCAGCTGTCACCGCAGAGACTTCTGGTTGATCCACGTTTCTGTGCAAACCAACACGGTAACCATCATATTTTTGCAAAATCGAAACCTGAGTGGTGAGTCGAATCCTCGTTGTTTGGTTTCACCCTATATAGGCCACTGGTACTCATTGCTACCACTAAGGAAGGGGCGGGAATTTTGTATTTCCAAGTTCCTACGCTCATCCGCAACAAAGCGAAAAAAAATAGCCTTAGAGCTGCTTTTTGCACACGAGTAGAATGTATATAAAAGAAATGCTTGCGCAATACAATTCAAGAGAATTCAGGTCTCATTGTTTACCGTGTTCCTCGAATTGCAGCTCAAGATTCCAGACTATTCGTGACATTAATGTTGTCGAAGTCCAAACGACAAGTCGAGCTCGAAGCAATTACGCCGGCGATAAAAAGCGACATCGCGGTGCGCGCTGAATCATCCGCGCAAGGTCGACGTTTGAAAAGTTATGGTCGCAATGTTCATGGACGCGTAGACCTCGATACAAAGGATAGGATGGAGCGCAATGACGATCAAACTAGAAACTCGAAACCGTATTCCAATGTAATACAACGCACCCCTCGATTTTTATTTAGTCCAGAAAGATGTCCGACTATCAAATTTCGTGTACCTGTCCGCGGTACCGCCACAGTCGAGTCCGAAGCACGCGACACTTTCACAGAATTCGCTGTAACTAACTCGAATTCGCGGGTCTCGAGAGGATGCCAGGCTTATAACATCTGACATGACTCCAGGAACTCATTAACTATCCACGAATTCCAAGGACTCTCGATGCTCTAGGAATCCCGTGGTTACATGAAGGTCTTAGCGGTTAAGGAGATCACGGTGTTTTCGATCTGAAAGCGTCCAAGTTCCTAAGGTCTCACGCGAGAGTTTCAGGAGGATTCGTCTCTGAAATTTCCCAGGGACACCTCGGAGGTCCGAGGCAATTCCAACGTCACGGAAACCCATTGAAGACGGAATTGTCGCGTAGCGATACCAGGGATAAATCGAAAATGGGCCTGCAGCGTTTCATTTGGGCCTCGAGCGCCGTTATCGAACCTTAATCATAGCCACGACCCTGACGTGTTTGATACGATGTCGTACAACCCCAAACGCCAGCAGTGTTCAGTTATATGATTCCCGAGGTTGACGCTATTATGGCTCGTGACCCTGGAGATGGTATCTCGTTTCACGTGTGGGAGGACGACAGTATCGTAATTTGACAAGCTGGTCTCATCGGTATTAGACTGCGGCTCTGTTGGCGATACTCGTCAAGCAAACGATAGCCATGATGGAAATGAGATTTTTATTGTCGCTAAAGTAACTTTTATGTGTATACCTATATATTTGTACATATTAAAAAATAAATGCGTCGTCCCATAAGTAATTTTTTATATTATTCCTACAATAGATACTTTCCTCTTATGTATCTTTAATCAGGATCGAATGAATCTCTAAATAATCGTAAAAGTACGAACCAAACTTCTGCATTGAGAGTCAGAGTGGCAACGTTACATGTGGGACGACGTAATATTTTCCATTTAACAATATTACCTGACTCTCACAGGCGTGGAGAAAGACGCACGTCCCCACATTATTCGTCGCAGCTCCTCGCCGGTCATGCCACGTTTCCTCAACTCATTTATCGTTACTTTCCCAACGCGCTGTAAGTATAAATCACGTAATCTAGAAAGTAACGAACTGCGATGCAACCGGGAATTCGAGCTAAATTATAGTCGTTACACCGTTGCAATGTTATAAACAAATTGAATTCGTAGCGGCCGTAAGCAATATTTCAATTCCTCGAATCGTTGTATTCCGCGCGTATGAATATTTAATAGGATTCGCCGAAAGATAAAGTAATGAAAAATGATCGTAAGAGAGGGTGAAAAGCTTGCTCGAAAAAAAAAAAGAAGCATTAACGGAGGAATCGAAAATACAAGAAATTTTCGAATCGGTCAACCAACGAAAATAATTACAGACAATTGTGATCGTTCGTTACAGGAAATTATAATTTTCGAAGTTCAATAATGCATCGAAATCGCGGATTATTATCAAACCCACTCCCACATTCGCGGATAGAAAATTTTACATAAATTATTAACAACGCCGATACTCGTTCAAATTTAAATCATTAATTATTCCAGGTACATTTGCGCGCAAAAGTTACGAAGTATGGCTCGAAAATGAAATAAATACTTCTGTTATACGCGTCTACCACGCATTCGTTAGACTATAGCTCATTAATACTTTAATCATACTATCCTCTACATTTGTTTTCCCACTTGCAGCCTTCGTTACACATTAATTCTACGCTATATTTCTCTCCGTGAAATCACTCTTGTGATTTGACCTAGGGCGTGGAAAATGTTGGACACTTCTTTTTTCTAATTTGAGAGAGTAGTTCAGTTCGAGGTGTATTCGTTTCCCCAACGACCACCAAATTCGAGAATCACGGCGTGGAAAGATTAAAAGAGGCATCCTGTGAATTGTCGAGCCAGTGGCTTCGCAAAGCATGGGGACACGTAATCGAGATTTAAATCGACGCAAAACCGCCGCGAGTAATGCGCGCAAAGTGAATAGCTGCGAGTTAATGATTCAACGACGCGTATTTTCGAAAAAAAACGAAAACAATAGCGGGGCAAAAAAGCACGATTGACGACGGTATCACCTTCCAATTCACCACGGCGCCTTTGCGTTGCTTCGCCTTGGTTTTCGATTTACTTTTAATAACCAGGACTCCTCGCTGCTCGGAGGCAGGGTTGTTCGGGTCGTCGCCGGGACCCAGCTTGATACTGTATTCCTGCAAATAGTTCTGCGCGTCTTTCTGCGATACCGCGCGCTCCAGGGAGACCACGATTTTGGCCCACTGAAACCAGTTCAGACGCCTTAATATAAAACTTTACCTCCGACGGTCACTCGGAGACGAGACGTAAAATGTAAATGCGAATCGTTTAATGAAATATTATAATTTTATTTCGCTGCCGGAATGCAAACTTATTGTTCCTTATCGAGGAAGTAGGGAGGACTGGTCTGAATTATTCAGGAAGGTGGATCGTGGATTGGAATGGGTGCGCTTAACATAGTAATTATAAAGGATTCGATCGTTTACAAAGGGGGAAAACATTTTATTTTTGATTGATAAAACTTGTCAGAGTATCAGGTGTGCTTTCACTCGGAGTGAAACAATTCCTGTTTCATAAAAAAAAAAAAAAAACAATTTCCAAAGTTGGAGGAATTATTTACTTGTTTCACCCATTCCTTCTCGCTCTGCTCGATGACGTGGGCGTAGGTGTTGCCCATCATGGCGATCAGCATGTTTAGGAGCAGTATTGGCACCAGGACCATGAATATCGCGAACACCGTCTTGGCCAGATTGGGGTAGGTCGTGTAGCCGAGGTCCGTGTACTGGAACAGGCCAGAAACGATCCGCGCATTGTTCGGTCATTGTTTCCGCTAAACAGCCCGGAAATAAACTGCACACGGTGCAACAAATCAGTAAAAATACAATCGTGTCGCGAGCAAGCACGCCGGAATCAACCGATGGATATCCAAACGGGAATCCGTATTTCCCGATGCGTTCTACTTTTTAATTCGACGCATCTGAGCGAATTGTTATACGAACTGTAAAACCGAGCAATGATTTTTACTGGACGCTGAGTGTTTTATGAAACTGGGTATCGGTGTACGTGCGGGCAGAGTCGTGAAAAAGGTGGAAGCATAGGGCGCCGTGTTGGGAGACGATCGAGGCTACGCAAGGTTCAGAGAGAACTTTGTTTGGACAAAGGTATTTCAGTGTCAGACTCTATCCAGACTTGTTTTGTTTAACACCTGATCTTCGAAATTAATTTTTGCGTTCCTCAGTGAAAATCATGGCGACCTTAATGGAAGCTAGGATGATCAAATAAAGGACAGCGTGTGTCACTGTTGCCGCAAGCACCGAAGTACCTAAGCACGGCCATAGCTGCGCTGAATCTCTAATTTCCTTGCGGCAAAATAAAACAGTGAACACAAAACGAACTGAACAGAGATGAAAAATAAACGTAATACATTTGTCGCGAACTGGAACGAGCTATCCGTGATTGAAATTCAAGATTCATGCGTGCACGTGACCCATTTGATGTCCACAAAGGAAAAAGCGATTTGCGAGAATTTAACAATTACGACATGGCTATAATAGCAAAGACTGACCGATCTTTTTTTCTTGAAATAGTGCATACATTTCAATCGTCGAGGCTTAAAAATACTTGCACCTTCCGTAAGAGTTGCCCGCAGACGGTAACCCAGAAAGGGTTGACAGGACTCTGTATTAAGGAACTAAGAAAATTAATTCCAACGATGAGGGGTTAATACAAATAAATCTGAATATATTAATTGTCTCGAGACAAAATGTTAATCCTGTAAAGGTATTCACGAGTTTTCAACTGGCAACGAATGTGTTACGTATCATTCACACCCCCAAAATGACGCTGGAGCTAAGGTCTCATGCTGGTGGACGCGTACACGTGCGGAATTGTGCGTGGTGCGACAATAAAACGGTGATTTACGAGGTGGCTTACGTTATAATCGCCGAGGGTTATCTGAAACAGTGCCATCCAGGTCGAGTGATAGGAATTATAGAGGGATGATTTCACTCCCGGGAAGCCTTTGTACAAAAAGTAGAACGACTGGCAAAACCCGAACAGCACCACCATGTAGATTATCCCGAAAGTCAACATGTCCCCGGTTATCATGCTGTAGACCATGGTTACGAATGGACCGGTCAGCCGGATAGCGCTGTTAAAACAATCAAACGATACAATGCTCGCGCGATAATGATGCATTAAAACGCGTCAACGATCAGATACCGCAGCGTCGCTCGTGTGCACCCGTTCTCATCGCTTCTGTATACAACGCGTGCTGCACAAGGCTGGGACGAGGACGGGGAGGATCGGCGGTTCGCGGGGGAGGATGAGGAGGAGGTGGAGGAGAGTCGCTCGCAGCGTTTTGAAATAATGCCACGATCGATTCACTGCGGTATCGTTGTGGAAAGAGCGAGCAGATATTAAAATAATACCGAGTCCGGGGTTCGCCAGACTGAAAAACGTTAATTTTCGCTTTTAATCGCTGGCAACACACCTACCACCCTCGGGTCATTCTTATTCTGCGACTTCGAGTCAGCCGTACGAGTATATTTACCGTGGTCGCATAATAATAATTAGCGTTGATTTAATTTACACGTGGGAACCTCGTTCAACATTGAAACTATTCCATGCAAATCAGAATGGGGGTTTCTTAGAGCACGAAACTGCATCTCAAAGTTAAAATCCATTTGAATCAGACTCTACGCGTCGGCGATTCACCCTATCTTCCTAAACAGCCTTCCATTTCAATGTCTATTGACTCGACTGCTACCCGTCTGGAGCAGTGCCTCTCAACCTCTCGAAAGCCCCAGCTAAATTGCCAAATTGTATTTCTTTCTCGAAGAAGCGAACGCTTCCTTCCCTCATGGTTCTCCATTTTTATTCCGTATCCACCATCGAGCCTCTCTTTCTGCACTCAACTTTATTTCTACTATGAGATCAATTTTTCTTCCCCTAGAATATCGAATCAAATGACACTCAGGAAGAATTCCTGTTCCTTTTGTTTCCCTTCGCAATGGAGCGTCTACACCCTGGGCGTCGCGACGACTTATGCTCTTTGATGAGGCGTAGCTCGGACAATAGCGAGGCGTCACTGTCGGTGCAATATCGATGAAGTATCGTGTTCCTTTCAGGTATGTATCTGCCCGTCGCGCAACAGATATCGATCCTTCGTGTTTACTGTCAGCGGATGTAGGTATATTATGGACACGATTAGCGTCAGTTTGCAGACAGAGAGTCAGCTAATGACTTAGCGTTAGATCTCTGAATTTTCGGGCCGATTACGGAGACATCGATCTAGTTCGTGATGGCTGGGCTCTAATCCCTGACAGTTTGTCGTATTTGATGCAGATTGGAGTCACGGTTGCTATAAAACGGTGATTAGCGCGCCAAATTAAATGGCAGCTCGCGCACCAGATTCGAGCGACAGTTTGCGACAAAATAAGCTACGTATCAAAATTGAAAATGTGGTTTTCAAATGAATTTGTGCCGTTGGATCTTTGATTTAGGTACTTGTTGTTGTTGTTGTTGTTTTTTTTTTTTATGTAGAAGTAGAATAAACTTTATATTTCATTTTTAATATTTATTTTCACGTGTATTCGAGTGTTCGGTTCATATTATTATTTTATCCCACATTTGAACTTTGGAGCCTTCCGAAGAGCGCTCAGACCTAACCAATGGTATTACGCTGCTCAAAATGATTTAGAATCCGCGCCGCTGGACAATGCTAGAAATTGTGCCACGTACCAAAGATGAAATATTATCTATTTAAGAGAATAATATTTTTGCCGAGTGTCTACTTTATATGCATAGCGTGTCAGCCTTTTGAAATATTGGATAAGTTACTAAACGATAAACTCATTCGAATGGATGGTCCTGTGATTACTTTGAGCAGTTGCTTGCTACGGAGAGGCATTCTAACGACCTGTTCCAGTGTCTCTCAAACCGTGCACGGTGGTGAGACTTCCTCATCTCTCTAAAGATGATGTCCCCGATTCTTAGCATTCCATTAGAATCGAGAAATCGTAAACATTGTAATCCATCTCCTACAAAAGAGAGCCCCTGGCGTGTCCGGGTGAAGGTGATCGAGAACCACTGTCAAATACGATTTGTTTGCACCGCAAATAGTATCCGCCGTGAGAAAATTTAATTACGTGCGACCCGTGTCGTTGAACCGTCAAGAACGATGCGCGCATATTGCGTAATATAAGAGGTCATTGTATCTTGCTTGTTATCGGTTTACAGGTCATCGGGACGGTCAAACAAGTTGGAAACAAAACGCCGCAAAGAGAGATACGGTTACTCCTATTATCAGCGGTATCGTGTTGTCCATCGTCGTTGTTACCAGTTCTCGTTGATTATTCGATTTACCGACGGGGATCGTCGTTCAATGAAATTGAAGCAGCGCTGAATTCGAGCCAAAATCGCCAACGGTCGCCGATAGACAATGAACGCCGCCGATTAAAATCGATTCCCCCGACCGCTCGACGTCCCCTCGCTCGCGAAACGGTTTTAATCGCTGCGCGATTTCTTTTTTTTTTTTCTTTTTCTTCTTCATTCTTTCCTTTATTTTCTCTCCTTACTTTTCCTGCTTTTTCCGCGGGGCTGCCTACACGCGTCAGTTCCAGAAACGAGATTGAAGAGCGACAAGAGTAGGAGAGAGAATCGTCTGAAACCAATCGAGAGATGACACAGTGAGAGAAGCATCGATCGAGCTGCCATTAGGTGGAACGACAGCTCGGTCTCTCCTAGCTTCCTTTAATCGATTGCTGACCTTATCTTGTCAAGGGTTACCGATAGTCATAAATCTCCGGTTTTTCCTGCCCCCGTAAGTTCAAGGGAAGGTACAGTCGCCCCGGGAAATAATAAAGTGGAAATACTTGAGAACGTCCGCTGGCTGGACCAGGGATCCTCAAAGCCCTCGATCAAGATGGCTACCACGACTTAAGCCAGACGTGGGGAACCTTTCCTAGGTCGAGGGTCAAAATATCATTCTGGCTTAAAAGTCGAAGACCAAATTATTAAACAAAATAAACGTTTCAATTTATTTAACATGAAGAGCCACGTTCCATAAAAATTGAATTCGTTTCAGCTTTACCATCTTTCATCTCACCTTCCACGTCTCATAGTTCCTACACATTCACTGATTAGTCATCGCAAAATATTCATTTCCAGTTGGTGTGATCCAAATATCAGCTAGTCAGTTGTTCGAGCACTTGTAGCTAATACCTTATCTTAATTAATATCTTTTCGTAACATAAGATCGGATTTACGCAAATCTGGTTTGGTTTAGGTATTGGACTTAGAGGCATCGGATAATTCCCGCTGATTCCAAAGCATTTGATAGGCTTACTGTTTCTGGAGCATGACGTACATCCTCTACGAATAATGCCGCGCAGCCACGACATTAACCGTTAAACTCCTCGATCCGATCGTTTTTAAACATTTAAATTTGCAATTTTCTTATGTACGAGGTGGCTCGACAGGCGTCCGAACTTCTCGAGCACGCTCTGTGTTTAAAAATAAGATTAAAATGTTATCTTCGTGTACACGGAATATAGCGCTTCGTTAAAAAATTGGAAGAAAAATTTTGCATTTCAAAGCGTTGCCTTTCGATCGAGCCTCGCCATCGACGTGAGATTAATTTTATTAGAGTTTTCTAACTAATCACCGTAACTTTTAATAGCTGTTAACATGCTACGAGAAAGAAGAATGTTCACCTGATTATTAATTTAACATTAGCTGGTTTTACAGAGGCTTTTATCTATTTCCCTTCCAGAAACTTTCATACCGTTAAATGTCTTTTAATGCAACTTTAATAACAGAGGCTGCTCATTCCTCTCTACTTTCTTTCGGAGTTTCAAAGCCTCTTAGACATTGAAACTTTTATGCTCAAACCATTATTTTCGGTAAACGAAAATAAGTATCTTTGGCCATCTCTACGTCTTCCCACGATAGTCTTCATTTATCATGTCGCGACCCCCTAAGAAAAATACATGTAATCATAGGATCATCGACAAGAAAATTGTGGATGAAATAAATTTCTGAACGATCGAATAATATATTTTGTGTCAGAGCTCGATTCAAAATTGTTGAAATTTTCTTTCGCCTCCGTTTTTATCAGGGGTGCGATGCATTTTTCTTTTCACAGTCAACCAATTGTATCCATTCATTTTGACGAATGCACAATAGAATATACATATTTTTCATTCGTTGAAACAATGTACTATACCGTGTATCTTTCGGCAACGCCGATGATTTGTTCGTTAAAAACATTTGTAAAAGTTCCCTTCAATGGTCCCAGGTGAAAAATAGTCTCTAATTAGTACATCTGCGTCCATTCCCATTCAAACCATCGCATTTATATTAATGCTGACATTCTGTTTGCCGTGTAGCTGCGTTTCTGTTGCAACTATTCAACAAAGTACGCTTTAAACCGTGTTTGTAGAGCATTTTCGGTTTATTTTTAACCGCGAGATATACTAGAAAAATTTATACGGATACTTGTCCAACGTGTTGTTCACGTGCTCCACTTTTTACACACGCATTTTCCAACGCGTACGTCTCCACAGTTCGCGAATTAACTTCAAACGTTTTTTTTATAAACCCGAGGCTACAACGTAAGGCAACAGTGAGCCGTTTGATATCGAGTGTTGGTGGGTTTGTTTCGCGTATATTTTCTTGCATTGCAAATGTATTTGAGATGAATTCATAATTAATTCATTAACGTACCGAGGAAGTTTGAAATTTCAAACGAAAATATTCCGCAATAAATCACGGATTAGTATTTAAAGGGAAACGCTTGGAAAATGGCCCCGACGCATCGAATTTCAGTTAAATTCAGATTGAATTGGTGACGTGCGCTGTAAATTGAGCCGTGTCGGCCCTATGGCGGGAACCGTACGACGCCGATTGTACTTAGGCTTTGCCACGATTTGATCGAGTTACGTGGAAATCGGTTTCGTCTTTCGCCAATGGCAAAGCGTATGTCGAACCAGGTATAGCTGACAAATCTGAGCAAGCCTCTTGGATGGCATACATTCGATTCATACTTGGCCCGTGCTCCTCTCTACGGATTATACCTCGTTAGGATTGTGAATCTGAACTATGTGGGTTACCATCTCGAAGGTAGATGAGCCACAATTATGTTCGCTTCATGTACCCATAATTAGAACTTCGGACATGATGCTTTCGTTCCGACGAATGTGGAATATTCGAGCCCTAAGTATCCCCGAAATTTAACGAAACTATTATCAGTTTCGGATAATTATTCTGTGCGAGGCAACGCGCGCGCTGGCACTTGCTCCCGTTTCTATAATTATTAGGCGAAATGCTGCGGGGAAAATCACGGGAACAGTTATCGAATTCTATGCATAACGGCAGGGGAGTATTTTTAATTAATGTATATATTTGGCGATCACGAATCTAAACGAATATGCCAACTGTGTATTTAATAAGCGCTCAAGGAGACACCTAGGGGCTCAGTTATAAGATTCGATTCAATTTTGGGACTCGGAGAGCTATATTACTCTACGGAATCAATGTTTATTGTATCAAAGTTATTAATTTTATTAATGTTCGGACTCACAGAGGTATGTTACTCTACAGAACCAATGCTTGTTTCCTTAGCCCACTAATTCTATTAATTTTGGGACCAATGGATGTCCACAAAACACCCTTAAAGACGACGAAGAAGGCATCAAACGAAAGACTAGTCGTACGCAGGGATAGCCGGGAGCGTCGCGTTTAAAAGCGGCTGCATCGATCTCCAGTTAAATTTCGTGCGAAATTAATCTCGGGCGCAACGGTGGCTTATTGCCAAGTCAACGGCAGTAGTTATGGAAGACAAGAAATCTGGTACCGAGTGTTCGAAAGCCTTTGAGGAATTACGGCCCTGTACGTGTACTTAAACGGGAAAGCGAAAGACAAAAGGGCGTCCTGATGGACACTAATTACGGTCCTGGAATGCAGACGCTTTTACGTTACATTGCTCCAATAAAGAAAATCCGTTTTCATCCCGGTACAGAAGGGATAATGTCCTGACTGCTTTCAGGCTGCGTCGTACTGAATTAAATTTACACTTCTGGCATTGCGAACCTTTTTGTTCGATACGGGGCGTTGGTGAATTATAGTTGCTTCGCGAGCTGATTCGATTCAGGAAATATAGGTGGTTCGAACCAATTAACATTACATTTGTTATCATTCTAAATTTCCGTGGGATTCATTGGTATTTTGGTCGGATAAAAAACTCGTTTAATTTATTATCAACGAGCTGTGTCGTTCAGATTTCTGAAAACAATTCCGTGTAAATTTTACCGTGCACTGTTTCACGTTGAAGTGAAAATGTCAAGCTGTGAAGTTAAGTAATACACATCTCTTTTTGCATGTTTATTTAGCAAAGGTGTGCCACGTTGAAAGGCACCACTTAATGTCTGTTTTATGACAGGTTGCTACCATAGCATTATTTGCTTTCTCCGCGTTTCCACACTGTGCTCAATTAAAGGAACGCATTCCCCAGCCATTCGAGGATATGGAACCAACCAGCAGAGATGAAACAACGTTACGTACATACTGCGATGATGCAATTATCGATCGCCCTGTTCGCGGATCATCGGAGTATATAGTTTTCGCTCGCTGGCGAAACGAAGGGTAAAGAGAGGAAGATAACCATGGAAAGGTGAATTCCTCGCGATCCGAGGGAAAAGAATCAGTGCCACCGACAGCGTGTGTTGTGTCCTTTTCCTTGCGAGAGCACGTCCTCGACCGAAGGCGGAGATGTTCCGTCAAAGCGACGTTAAAGCCGTACGAGTCAAAGCGAGGTTCGTCGGCGTTGCCATGAAATCGCGGAGACGGCGGAAAGCAGTCGTCGCCGGGCACAGAAACGAGAGGAGCTGAAAAGTTCTGCGGCAATACCTGCAGGAAAGTGCCCGCGACGAAAAGGACCTGGGGGAAAAACGATTGCCAAGAGAGGCGTATATGGTAATGCGAAATAGCCGGCATTATCTCGCTGTAAATCACCTAAAAAGAGGTTTGAAATCTGCTGGCGCCTGCCTCCCGCCCCCTCGATTATAAATGTCTTTCTTCTGGGTGTTCCGTTCGGTGTGTTTCCGCGAAAATTACTGGCAGAGGGATATAGGATCTCACGTTTTTCATTAACATAAACGATAGGCTGGACAGGATCGATCGAGATCGTTTCGATGCACGCGAACAACAACCCTTGAAAGAACCTTTTGGCACTGGTGGTTTCTTGAGCTGCTATTACGGAAACATTTGCATCGATTAACGGAACTACTCGAATAAATATTGTAAGAGTAGAATATAACGAGAGCAGATTAATCAACCTCCATTAATAAAAATATCATAATTACTCATAAAGTGTATCTCAATGATAAAACATCGCGTTTCGAATAATACGTACAACCGCAGTTGCATGACCTACGCGCATAACACTTATCGAGCATTTTTTTATCATTCTTCATGAATATTTCTGTCGTAAGTTTACAACACAGAGACACAATTTTCAAGCATAAAACGCTCATTCAGCTCTGCTGTTAACTTCTATATTATTAGCAGAAGCTGATAGAACGAGTAATTCATATTCTATTAATGGAACATCGCGCAAAGTTATACTAGAATTAATTTCTGTTTATGAACGCTCCCGTGGCTAATGAAACGATTACGTACACTCATTGGGCCCCCGCACTCATCACGCTACATATGCTCGCATAATATTCAAACGAGACACACGTTAATGTGCCTAACATTATGCGAAATTTATGGTCCTCGGTGGAACATCAAAAACAGATCAAAAGTTATGCCACACGTTTGAGGCAGCAGACGGGCCAACTCAACTTTCCTGCTGTCGACTTAACAGGTACCTAGTGGCTAAATTTATGAGTTCTAAGATACAATGAATATTATTTGGAGTACATCTGCGCTGGATCTTTTTTCGTGTTCAGTCAGAATTGGGCATTATCGTCATTTCTAAGACACGATAAATAATTAGGAATACATCTAGCCAAATCTTTTTTCGTATGCGATCAGAATTGTATAACAAAATATATTTAAACGAGTGAATGATACGAAGTAATTCACATTTTGAAAGAGTTGATAGTTGATAGTAGTAACAATAATATACTGTTGATAGTAGTAACAATAATATGAAATGCTTAATAGTCGTATCACTTACCCAGCGAAGAACATGAGTAGAAACCACGAACAGGGGACAGCGACCACCAATATCGCGTCTTCCATGTGCCTGTCGCCAGCAAGACGGCACGGAATGCACGCGAGTATGAGCAGGTTACTAATCAAGAATATGAGCTTGGCGGGCTCGTGGCTCTGAAAGGTAAATGCGCAGGTGAAACGTCAAAGGCAGCAACGTATTCTTGCACGCTTTACGACCACCCGCAGAGGAATCGATACGCCATGGAATTTCGGGCCACAACGGCGCACAGTGGGACACATCTAAGATTTTAGTGCCCGTTTTCTATTGCTTCGAGGGGCGCCACTGTCAAGAATTTATATCGATTATATTACAATATTGAAAAGAAAATCTTTAGAAAATTGTAAGGCTAATAGAATGAAGCGTGAAGAGTATACTCTCTCGAGCCTTAAATAGGATTAGTTTCTAACTTCGATACTCTTCTAATTGTTCACGAAACAAAGTTTAGCGAACGAAATTAGCTCGATCGATCCCCGACGATCTTCCAGGCGACATCTTTTTTAATCGCACCACGTCACGGTTACGATTGGAACGCAATCGCGCTTAATAACGCCGCGATACACGTAAACTACGTTGTCCTAATTACTATATCGTACAGCCGATGTCTGCGCTATCGACCGAACGAGGGTAATTACGAATTATGCATTCTCTCACTTACGAGAATGCTCAACTTGTACCGTGATTTACGAGCAATTCTCTCGTTACTGGGCAAATTAATTCGCGGACAATAAAACCCTTTAAGGGTTTCTCGTGTCTTGTCTGCGGCCGCGTTTCCGTCGGTCTCTGTTTACTGTTTACGACTGTGGTTTACAAACTTTAGAAAGCACCACGAAAAGAACGTTTCTCTGCTGGTGATATTATGATTAATTCTTTCGGTTAGCCCTTAACCCTCCTAGTACCCTACCGTCGATATATCCGGATTTGCGAAAATGTTACAACGATCGTGGGTGGAAAATTGCGTGATCTGTAGATCGAACGTGTCCTATGTCTTAAACGTGGCCTTCCAGGGTTGTGGACTCGCTAACTGGCGGAAGAACGCGCCCTTAATATTAATGGGGATCTTTATCTCTATTCTTTTCTATAAAGATGACAACTGAGAACGTTTGGTATCATTGAGACTAGATTGTTAAAAATAGAAATTTATAGAGAAGAAAATACAAGGGAATAATTTTAAGCAGAACTTTAAGAACTTCACTCGGTGGTTTCAGAGTTCTGATTTTTGGAAATCGGTCCACGGGGGTCGGTGGTCCCTCGGTTAGGCAAATGTAGCGTACAACTGTCCAAGTATCCCAGTTTATGATGTTGCAGGCAATAAATTAATTTCCATGGGTACTAGGTCCTTCGCTGCCCTCGTATGCTGAATCCATTTATACCTCGGCCCGTATATACAGGGTGTAGCGTGATTCCTGATACTACCGAAAGGGAAGCACTTTGTACGAAAATAAGGCGGAAGTGTGCTAGTAAATCCTGTTCGAACGTGGCCCGGTGAAAAGTTCCGTGAAAATTTGCTTTAAGACGTTGCCTTCCATGCTACTTACGTTAAGTCCCACAATTTTCCCGAGAAAAATACCATCCACGCCGCGCGCGAGGAAAAGAAATCCGTCCTGTATTTGGAAGTACCAGCGTTTTTGCGCGGAGAGACCTCGTTTTCCCTGTAACCGTTCTCGATCCCCCGTTACAGTTCACTAGCCGTCCAACCTCAGGTAAGAAGTATTCGAAATTGCTCCACTCGGCGCATCACGAGCCACGGGAACAACGGGGCATTTCGCGATCGCAACTTTCACGGGTCAGGTCGATCGGAATAGCGAAACGCTGAGGGAATAGAGACGCTTACCAACTGTTTCATGAACGACAGCAGACCGATGTTGATGATTTCGCCGCCTAGTTGCACCAGAATGTAGCTCAGCACGCCTATCACGGTGATGCACTCCGATATCGTGCGGCCCGCGTCCGTTATTTCCTCTGGCCATTTCAGGAGGTCGGTGTTCATGTCGGAAGGCCTCATGTACACGGCCAGGGACAGCGAGGTCAGGTGAAACGCCAGGATTATCAGCCGCTTCAGGAACTGTAACTTTCGGGGAGAATCGATGGAATCTGTTGTGATTAATTGGGAATCGTGTGTGGGAGGATAAGGGAAATTTTTTTCAGAGGGTTGGACAACCTATACTGTCGTGTTAGATATATATTCGTTACAATGAGAATGCAAATTGTTGCTCGGTCAAGGTCTAACCATAAGGGTTGGAAACATTTATTTTACTAACTCCTGTACACACATAAAAATACAAAATTATCGTCAATGTCGTACATTTCTCATTTCACTGAATCCCCTTTACTTTCAAAAAAAAGTCTCTCATCGAAAGATCATTTTATGTGCATGGACGAGCATGATATTCTATTGGAAGCTCCCTGATCCGTATTATCTACTTGCTGTTACAAGTCTGCAAATCATGGACACGTTAGATTTTTTCAATAACCCCTCATGAAAAAGTCTATAAATCGTGCTCCTTTTTGTCAAGCGCACGAGGAACAGCGGAAAGTAATTCGGTTGCATTAGTAGGGGAAAAAATTGCCATTTTACATGGACGTAATGAACTTTTCTATCGGGATTTTGCTCGCTTCGATACGTTACTGTATCCGCTTCGAAAGAAATAGATTACACGATGCCGTGGATTGAAATCGATAATGTAGCGAATAAGCAACTAATCGAACGAAATTAACGGCGATTTTATGTACAGGGTGGTTAAATTTTCCGTAAAAATTGAAGCAAGTTTTCGTAACTTCGAACTCCGAACTATGCGTAGAGTAGTCCTGATGATGTGCTACCGTCAAATGGGACTTTGTGATTAATTATACTAAAACCATGCTAATCTCTGTGTGCAATATCACACCGTAATTGGTCATTTGACGCTTGTATGCGGTTTAAACGTGACCATGATTAGCACTAGGAGTGGAATATGTCATGGATACTGTGCTATTATAATCTTCTGCCATCGAACCACGTTACTGTTTCTTGCGTGTAGACATCGAGATATTTCGTTGTAAAAAGTCCGAGTAAAAATAACTGAAACTCCCTTTTGCTCGAGTACCAAAATAAAAATTGTAAATATTCCGTGCCATTCGCGTTCCATCGAAAAATCCTGAAGCCCCATTTTGGAAAATCCTCCACTAAATTATTTCTAAACAAGGCCCTGGTTTATTGTTCGAAAGCACCGCGTTCGATAGTTGGTCATCGAGTCGCGCGACCATAATTCCAATCAATTCAAGCGCACGACATCGACGACCATCCTGAGATCATTCACGGATTACCAATACTATCGGGAAGCTTCGCGGTGAATCGAAATCGAAATAAATCGTTCGTTTATTCGTCGTCGGTGGATATCCCCCCGCCACTCGTGGATTCAAGTATTGTGCGCGATGACAATCGCTCGATGTCACTCCAAGTCTACTCGAAGTCTACTCGACGTCACTCAATAATCACCGGAATAATTTGAAATGCACGCGCATTGATAAACACGCGCCACGAAAACTTTCCACCTCCCGGCGTATTCGAATAACTGGGACAGCTGACATCTGCCAATTATAATATAATTACGCGCCCGCGTCACCGCTTGGCGTTTCAAGAACGATCAAAATAGTCGAACGACGAATATTAATGCTCTCGACGTGCGCTTGGCGTTTCTGAACGTTCGCATTGGTTCCAGTTATTTCTTAAAGCGAGGCGTCGATAGTATTATCGAAAAGAAGTTGAATATAATCGCGTGGAACACCTTATTTAAATTGGCATGTTCGTTTTAATTCTGCATGTCTACGTTACTGCTTTCCTATCGCTGCTAGTTTTCAAATCATTTAAACTCTCACCCTGAAACCTCACTGTCACTGATATTAAATAAATTACTTACGAGTACCACGCGAGTTGTTCTAGTCGAAAATAATAAGCCATCATTCAATTTATTATACGCTCAGTTCGCAACGCAGTAACCCATGGATTCGACTAATCAATCGTTTAGCAGCCAATCAACCAATTGGTTTCAAAATCCCCCAAGGTCGATTATGCACCCAAATGAGCTCTCTTGCGTTTTCAGGTCGGAAAACCTAACGTGGTTCGGCTAAAGCTGTTGAAAAATGCCTGGGCGGAAATCAGACGAGAATATTGTCACGTGGACGCACTTACCCGCGCGAAGGTCTTCCATTTTTCCTCAAGTAATCGCTGAATAATACCACCGTCCAGCATGTTCAAGTGCTCCTCCTTCGTGCCGTTCAGAATGATAAATAGCGCGGAGTTCCAGTCTGAAATAGAAATTCGGAGAGGACCATTTGCGGTTAATGGAACATCACTTTAGGGTTCCCTTCGTCGCGATAATTATGGGTTTTGCATTAGCGTAGACTCGGATATACGTGTGTATATACATATATATGTATTAGATGCAAGAGTTCCTCGCGAGGGAGAGCTTTTTCTGCAACCACGCCACGTGCGGTGCTAAACTTTCTTGCGTGCGAGAAGATAAAAGTTTACGCTACTTTCGCGCACGAAGAATTCCACGGAATCGTTAATCTGTCGGCCAAACTTGCCCGCGAGCTCCCGAAACTCGGCTCTAATGTTAGTTCGATGCGGTGGTTGAATTTCGGCGAACCCATAAATGCGAGTACTAAAGGCTTTTCGAAAGTGTTACTAATGTAAAACGGGATGAGCTTTCGGACGTTTGGGGGAGCACCCAGACCCGCCCTGGAAGACAATTTACACGAGTTGAAGAGATGAAAACCGGTGAGCGGCTGTGAAAATGTGTCTGTGTGTGCTTGCGAGTACCTGTGCTTGCGCCAGGGACGGGGCTAGACTAATTGGGACCCTGGAGTTCGGCGGAGTTTCAAGAGACCTTCGTTTCTGTCAAGTGCATTACGAAAAACAAATTTTAATGTGGAGATACGTGTCTGTATTTTAAAATGTATCGAGTTGTAGGACCTTGAGGAGTAGCTGAACAGTTATAAACACGTGGATTTTAATTTCTTGTTTCTTTCAAAGCAGATGGAACATGTTAATATATTAACATATTAATTATAAACACTTTCATTTGACATTCTCAAACGAACCATTCACTTCATTCCTGAGTACTCTTAAAGCCCGTAAATCAGCTTTCGACGCCGATGTACGAGATCAAAGGTCTGGAGACTCGTAATCCATAAAACTGTTATATTTACATAAACAGAGGAACTTCATTTTTAAACTGAATTATATCCCGCCTTGTTATTTAATTTAAAGATCTGTCTAAGAACTAGAGTTATTGGAAAAAATCGCGAGTAATTCATCACGTACGCAGCATTGGAAAAGTTAGCAAACTGGCTACCGCGGGATGTGTCAATATCACGTCACAACTTTTCCCTGATTCATCGTCGAACTTTTCTCGAGCGGAATTGTAACGGAAGATGACAAATGAGTTCATTGTGAAATTGTTGCAACCAAGAAACCGGTGACCAGACATGGTTAAATTGGTAGTCGGAGGTTTTCTTGTGCTCGGTGGAATGGTTTCGACGCGATTCGCGGATGAATGGGAACAGCGATCGCGACAGGGAAGGCGTGGCTCAGAAAATTTGGACGGCTGACAAATATTGTACAACGGCCAATGAACTTTTAACCGTGCCATCCCGTATTGATTATCGACGTATATTCGACCGACTTCGCGATGAAAAATATCAAGGATTCATTTTCGACTTTCGCGAACTTGCCGCATGCATCGATCGACCCCTTTTTTGCTGCGCACTTTTCTTTAAGCCGCATCGGTCTTGGAATGCGTTTGAAACCTCGGATTGCTAATGTCTGGGGAAAGACGTGACGGAAAGCTCAAGTTTCGCCACAGTTTCATCTTGGGTGACCATTTTAGCTGCCAAATCTTTTGTGTTTTCAATGAGATGATAGATGGTATATTCATAGATTGTTCCTTTACCAGGAAACAGTTGCCAAACTATTCGAATATGTCCTTTACGACTAAAGCTCCTCTTCGTTTCCTCGTGAAGATTAGAGACTCCGATCCTTACTGCTAATACAGCATAATCTATACGTTTGAGAACTACAGTGGTTGCGAGGTTATCTAATTCAACAGTACCAACTCCCGAATATAAACTACCGATAATACGGAAAATGGAGTTAAATTATACGTTCGATAAACACTGCAATACTCGATACCAAGTTCCGCCGAATTCTGTTCGTTATTTTCAAGCGTACAATGTCTTTCGTAGTAATTCTTCTTGTGCCGCAGGCGTCTGCGTCGCGTCAAAATTCATAGTAGGACGGTCCCGATCCACCGTGTCCTCCAGACTCTTTAATCACTCGTCGACCTAAGCAAAGCTGCTTTCACGGTGGCTTAAAGCGTCAGGAAAGTTCGCGGTTCCATTGGATATTTTCAAGGAAACGTTTTAACGCTCGGTGCGTCTGTTGTCAATCTCCAGTCTTCTCTCTCTTCGGTCTGCGGCTACATCGATGGGAACTTCCCCGGCAGCTTTTGGCTGGGAAATTGAATTTCAGATGCGCAAGCAAAATTGCAACGAATATCCGCGTTCTCGTCGAACCGTCCGAACTTCCATTCAATACTGCCATCTCGAACGATGGAATCGGGTGACCAGGACCGTACCTAGGCCCACTGTCTCTTGCGAAAGTGAACCATTCAACCCCTCGCACTTGGAGTCATTGCAGACACGCAGAGTGTCTTCGTCCCTCGATTGCTCTCATTATTTTTGAAGCCCTGAAAAATGCAATCCTTACAGTTTCGTTGTTTTTGACATTCTATTAAATTGTTGTATTTCTTCCATTTAATCGAAAACTGCCACGCCCTGCGTCTACCCCAATTCCTCTTCTCCCTTTCGAGTGTACCACAGAGTCGGATCTTCGTTTCAACTTCTACTTCAGCTTGTAACGATCTGGTGTATTCGAAAATAAGGGCTCCGATCCTCCGATCTTCAGATTTACATGACAAACTTTCGAGGTTGGTGGACCTGGAGAGGCCAAAGTTGGCACACACGGCGAACTTAGCGGTACACGGTCGTTACCGCAACTCGTAATTATATCTAACTCCTGGAGCCAGACCTCTGAGAAGTTTTCCCTGACGGTCCCTCGCGCTTCTGGCCATTCTGGACCAAACCATCACGGCCAGTCCGCAAAAACGGACGTCGTAGCCGAACTTGAATAACGATTTGCCTTTAGCCCCTGGTCCGTTGCCCCGTTATCGTTGATAATCATCCCTAAGTGCTCTGCTCAGATAATTATTAACGTTTTAGCGGAGGCGGCCATCCGTGTTCAGCGTAATCGATTTAAGCTATCTTTCCGAGCTTAATTCCATCAGGGAACATCAAAAGTCGATCGCCCGGTGATGTAATAGATCGCAGATTATATTAGAGACCTCTGTCCCCGTAAACGCACACACTCGATGAAGTTTTGACCGAGGACAAAGGGGTGTCGCGAATTTTATTTACTCCACGCTATAGATCCACTTTTTCCTCTCGATGGTAGCCAACGGCTGCGAGATTTGCAACGCGATCGACGAGCAAGTAATTTCTAAAGTAGCTCGAGCACGTTTCGACATTCTACAGGGCCCGCAGCCGCCATTGCACCGAGGATTCCACGCGATCCTCGGCTTTCCTCAATAAGTGGGGGATGTCTTTGGAAGATTTCCTTCGCGAAAAGAAAGTGAATACACCATGTGCAAGCTCACCTAGAACAAACGAGTCTTCAAGAGCCTTTTAGACTTGACACCGTCCTTTTTTGGAATCTCTTCATTTCTATTCAGAACGAGTGAAAGCATCAGAAAGTACCAAGAAACAGCTGATTACCTTCTGTTACATTAAAGAAAAGTGCAAACGATCAGAAAAAGGGGCGCGTCGAAAGGGATAGCGTGGATATCTACCGTGGTCCCAGGCGAACTGGTTGGCTAACCAACTGACGGACCCTCCTCGGTTGATTGGCCTTGGCTTAGAGTAATTAACCGTACCCTGTAGGAAGGAGCAAGCCGAAAGTTCACCCCCTCTGATATACTGGCGTCGAACCCCCTCGCCCCTTGGCGTCGGTTCGCTCGTCTCGTCTCAGCCGTCGCTGAACCCCATCGGATGACATTCACGCCGTGGCAAAGACGCCTATAGGAGGACGAAGAGACGCGGGGTAGGATTGCACGGAGGGGTAAGCGAAGGGATAATGGATTCCGAAACTAAATGAAACGCGAGCACCCAACTCCGCGTCCGCGGCTAATCTCGAAACTTCGTTAAATGGCCGTAATTGCATCCTGCAACGACCCGCTTTCCCTTGTCTTCCTTCTTACCCCGCCCCGCGACCCCAACACCGCCGGTTCACCCTCTCTGCGCAATCTTCCAGCCAACGTCGGCCCTATGAATCACCCGAACGTCTAGAAAACTCGTCGACGGGTACATGCATACATCTACTTCGAAACGGCGGCACCGGAAACTTCGATACAATTTGGCAGAAGTCCGATTGCAACGCTCTTTAAATGCAGATCGCGGTTCGGCGCGTCTCCACGGGAGACGAATCTCGACGAAATTAGGGGGAATATTGAATTCTCGCTCGATAACGGCGGCGAAATATGATTGTTCGCGGGATGATCGAACGATGAAATACGGGGCTTTCCAAAGGAAGTTTTGGAACTTTTAACCCTTTCCACTCTGCGCCATCCCGTTGCAAAATAAAATAGTCTAACGTTGGAAACGTGTATTCTGTCTTTTTACCCTTGATTGTATATTCTTATAGCATTCTTGAAGCGTTGACATAAATCCGTTGTTTGCAGAGGGTTAATATCGGAGAATTAAAGGAAATTAAATTCGAGGGTGGAAAACTGAAACAAAATATCCATAGCGAATTTTATGAAAGCATTGAGGGCAAAATCGATCCCCGTAGCAACCTCTGAATGAACTATACAAAATGTTGGAGATTCAAATAAAAACTGGAATGTGAGCTTGAATGAACAGAGAGAAGAAAGCCAGTTCCAAAAGTGCCTCCTGGATTTTTAGGTGCGCGTCGAGGCACGTGCGACGTTTGAAATGTATTTGAAAAAATTAGATAACGATATGAAATTTCGGTAGTGTTAGGAACGGATGTTCCAGATTGGGCGATGAATCCATTTGAGGTAAATGCAGTCGGTGCTGACGTCATCGCGTTACAATCTTTGATTGAGTTGCAGTGTAATTTAACCGTTCAAGCTGGATTTAACCCTGAAGATAGTTTCTGTATTAGTAGTAAAACTGAGAGACAATTTCGATTGTGTTCATCGAATATTCAAGAGCTTCGTATTTCCCATGGACTTCCCGGAAGCTCTATATCACTATCAAATTATTCGAGAAAAATTAAGTCGAAACCATGAAATAAACTGTTTCTGTGGGAAGCTTCATTCTCGGGGAAATTAATTTTGGAAGTTTGTCAGGTACGCGCGCGATAGAATCCGACTTGGTTAACGAGTCTGTCCATTACTCACCGTTTCGACTTGTGTTGGAGTTCGCGGTGTGGCGTTCTAGGTTTCAATTGGCATTCAATTCTACCGTTATGTTTTTGGATTCACTTGTTTATAGGTTCCATAATGGATAGTTTTCGTATTAGCACTCTGCTTTTGTTCTGAACACGATGAACGAAGTTCGTCATTAAATGAACATGAAATAAAAAATATCGAGCAACGATCCAACCATTGATTTCTCGAGTCCTGGATATCCTGCTCCATTATCTCTTTTTCGTTAACGATCTTCCACCCTTCTCCGCTGTTTAGCGAGCGATTACTTTCTGATACTCCGCGCGGAGCCCACTTTCCTTTTACATTTTCCCCGTCATGTACAATTGTTCTGACACAGTTCTAAAGTGCACTCCCAACTAACCTTCGGAGCTGCCTCAGCGTTGGCGACGGATCCCCCATCGAGCATTGCTTGCAAATCTTCGTCACCCGCTTTCCTAGACCACAACGTGGCATGTCACTCAAGTCGAAGTAACAGGCTTTAAATCGTTGGAACCAATTTCCTCGCGCGTCATCCCGACCCTATACCGCCGGAGAGAAATGATAAAAAAAAAAAAAAAAAAAAAAAAAAAAAACTCGAATCGCAAACGACGCATTTTTTTTCCCTCGTCGCTGAAACGTCGAGTGCTCGCTCCAACGGTGACCATTTTAAAGCGAAGTGTTTTTTTGAGGTTACGCGGGTGTTTTTACATTGTCGTAGGCGAGTTTCAATGGAACAAAGCTCCGCGGGTTGAAACAACAGCAGGTCCGGGGAAACAATTGAATCCAAACCGCGAAAAGGAAGTGGGGAACAAAACGTCTCAAGGACATTTCTTGAATTTAAATGGTCAGGTGATGAATAGTATTCGCATTTTGGTCGCCTTATCTTGGGTGGGAAAACAGGTTCGTTCCCTAGGAGGACTTCCAGGGCTTCGTTCAACCCCCACTTGATTATCTTTTAAAGTTGTACACTGTCTGTTAGAGGCAGAGGCATCTCAACATTATCACATTTCGTAGATGGTACTATTTCACTGAAAGCTGATGAAGTTTAGGAGCTGAAACGATCCCAGAGACTCGATGGAAGTCTTCCTAAGGATTGATAAAGAGCCAAGACGGAGCCAGGTTCGAGAGACGAAATCGATCGACAAATGTCGATGTTGGATTAGGTAAAAAAGAGCCTGGCTATATTGCATCAGGAGAGATCACTCGGTAGGTGCTTAAAGACGATTCGGCCTTGAGCCCTGACAATTATACGAAGGCACGTCACAAAGTGAGTGGCCACTTCAGCGTGCTCCCGAACGACGAACCCCCGACGACGATTCTCAAAACCGTGTAATTCGATTAGCATTACGACGTACTTGTTCTGCCGTCGGGTAACAGCGTGTCGAGTGCATTGAGGGGGTACGCCGAGCAGGTGATATTACTGTAGCGCCAGAATTCTCGTGCAGACAGTTCCAACATCTCCCGAAAGACCTCCGCGCGACCCAGCTGGCAAGCGAGCGTCAACGGGGTCAGTCCGGCAGCATTCACGATCCCATTGCGAGCAGGAAGCTTCGGATGACGAAGGGCATACCCGAACATGTCCTACGTTACACAGCTTTTGTACTCGATCTAGCGGAAATCTCAACGTCCCAGAAAAAATAGACTGTGGGAGACTCTTTTCTAATACTAGTGATCCTCTATGTAGTGATCGAGCTAATCGACGCCATTGAGGCGAAATTTAAGCGCGTTTGAATGTAAATCAGTATGGGTCAGCCTGACAGTCACCGTGGAGTCTTTCGTGCTTTTTCAAAGTTTTGTATTTGGCTCTGAATATAGGACATGCGACAGGTTCGCAGCCCTTTTTGAAAGAAACTTTGTGTAGATAGAAATGTACCTATAAAGATTAGATCAATCAACTGTTGTGTTCTACGTAGAGGACCCAAGACCCCACGTTGACTGTTACGAGTAAGAAAAAATCATGTCGACATGTAAAACACATACCAATTTATCGCAAACTACGACCATATGCAGGATCATGTTGCCAAAAGAGTCCTGTTCGTCGGGATCGGCGCCCGAGTCGAGCAGTAAATTATACACACTTTCGTTGGCGCAGCAGGCGGCCCAGGCGAGAGGATACTCGCCGAGATAGGCTAATCCTTCGTAATCCGTGTTCTTGGCAGGATTCATTCTCTGCTGGTCCCTGGGTAGGAAAAAACTGCCGATCGCGCGTTGGGAAATTATCGCGCCCGCCTCGACCAGGTCTTGGACGAGTTCGTTATTGTTGTACGCGATCGCCAGGTGGAGGGCACTGGCGCCAAGGTATTCCTCGCCCTCGACGACGTCAATAGCCAAACGTGGAAAGCACTTGAGCAGGATACGCGCTACTCGTGTGTGCACCCTGGTATCGCATATAATCAGAACATGTAGAAGAGCCTCTCCGAGCGAACCTCTATATTGCATCTGCCAACATGCCTCGTGATCGTTCCATTGAGCCAAAGGGTCGAACCGTGATAAGGAAGCCTCTATCGGCAGCACGACCTGCTCGAGATCACGGAATTTCCAACGGAGGTACTCGGCACGGTTGATCGCCTGGCCCTTGCCGTCGGCGTACATCAGTACACCGAACTGTTCTCTGATCAACTTTTCGACTTCCGCCTGGCCGCCCAGATTATACGACTCTATCAGCTCGCCGCCCTTCTTGTAATTGGCTAATCGGTACAGGAGGCATTGGTCCTCGTTGCTCGCCTGGCTGATCACACGGTCAAGGATCGAGCCAGCGTTGACCTGGCTATCGCGACCTCGGCACGAGCAGACACCACCCATTCAGACATCCCTCTTTATCCTCTTCCGCGTCCTCGAATCGTTTCCCAACCACCGTTTGTCCACTTCCACGGCTGCCACTCCGATACCGTCGCCGCTTATCAACCCACGCCCGAGTGGGATCTCCGTCGAGTGTTTTCAGGTATCCTCAAGGACGACGAGGGTCGTCCCATTTTTCAACGCTACCAAGTGGACGCAGGAGCACCCAGCCCGCGTGGCTAACCGTGATCGACTCCGTTGATACAGCCCTTGAGAATTCCCTCGGGCCGTCGAAAGGTGGCGGACAGGTGGAGAACCGTACCCACGGCTATAGCAACCGCGCCGTGTGCGCCAGGTAATCTATAAACAGTGCCTGGCTCCGCTAGACACGGCGGGGTCACTGGGTGACGGCTTCGCCTTTCGGCTTTGTGTCAAAATTGATTTTTCTACCCTTGAACGGTGCTTTCTCTTGGAATCTATATTGTCCCTGACGCGGAGGACCGTCAGGATAACGCTTGCAAACTCCAAAATTAATAACTATTTTTTTAGTTTCTTTTTTTCGTTAGCTTAAAAGAATTCATACTCAAAGTACTCGAGCCATTTTTTTTTTTTTTTTGTATCTACCAGGCACTCGAGATGCTTCTTTAGCATTCTATTGCCACGAATGCTAAGCTTTCGATTAGATTGGCATCGAAAACGTGATCTTCAATTTGAGATTTGAAAATCAGGTCACCTCTGCCTCACCGACAATCATTTTATTGACACTTCGATTTTCCAATATAATTAAACCTAAGCAAACATTATAGCTGGTTGATTTGGTGCTTCGAACGTCTCGAGTGCAAAGGGTTAATATACATTCCCCTGTTTCGTTCGTCTAACGAGATTATTTTCAACGATCAAGTAGTTTGTCGAATGAATTTTAGCGGGTTTGACGGTTCTTGAGTGACAGGCAAATATTTGCCCCACTTCTCGGTTCGCCCAACCTTAACACTGTTTGCGACGTTTGAATATGCTCACGGGTAATCGTCTAACCTGACTGGAAGCGCACACAACACGAGAATGCTTATGTGAGAATTACCGGAAGCACCTACCAATTTATTATTTATTTTGTGTCGAAATGTAAAGAACAGCAGAGATAGACGAATCTCCAATCGGAATAAGAATTTCGAAAGAAAAAATCAACTCCGTATTCCACGTCTGATTTATTCGAATGACTATTGTTCCAGGAAACGCAGAGTAATTGCTCAAGATTGAATTTTTCGTGAAAGGGAATGAGCACGCAGAACAAACATCATTCGACGTTGTGAGACAGTGGCGTGATTACGAGTCGAGGTATTGTCGCTGGTAGGGTCAATGGAAGCCGGAAAACACCTTTTCAAATTGATTTCCACCAGACGAATCGCCGTGGAGAATGTTTGACGTTTGTTGCGTAAAAAACGTACGTAAATAGCCTCGAAAGGAAAACGTGGATTCGCGATACACGTGTATTATCTTTTTTCGTTCCATATAATACGATGTTTACAGAATCGCGTTTTTTTCCACTTTCTGACCCGCGATGAGATCGTGACAAACTCGTTTGCCAGAAAGATACGTTAGCACGATTAACAATTAATTAACTGTTCCCAGATGCGAGCAAATTTATTTATTTTCTACCCTCGTTATTGTTTACGTATATAGTGACGAACGTCCATTGATCGATTACGGAAATCGAGTAGTTGTTCCAGTCTATTGTTTCATTTTTCCCCGCGAGTTAGTCATTCATTCCAAACTCGTACCAACATGGACACGTCAGTATTTAGAGGTAGACCTTATACGTCAGAGAAAAGAAATATATGTGTATACATTTAAGAGGTGCAATTACGTTATTTCCAGTCACGGTGACTCACATTGGCGTCGCACAATTGCGCTGGCACCGGTCACAGTAATATGTACTTACATTGCACCATTAACCGATAATCACAAGGATGGCGACACGTTAGTTTAGAAATTGTACAGTTGACATTTCGATAGTCGCTGAGTCTTGTTTTATCAACGTTATCACAAACCGCAAACACGTTCCACGTTCAGGTGTTGTAATATAAAATGTTCCAAATCCTCTAGGCTATTGCTCTTCAATAAAACGCAGATAGCAGGGAACTATGTTGTTATTAAAAGATTCTCCTTTCCTAATTCCGCCGAGTAGACATTACTCAAGGTGTTGCAACGCTCGTTTCTGTTAATTCATCTCCAAGTTCTCTTTTTTACAGGCATTAGCACACCTCTCACAATGCAACATCTGTTTCGAAGATAACCGCATTCGTAGATGGAGGAAACCTTGAATCCGTTCGCGACGTATTAATATAATTCGTCGTGTGCGAAACGCTGAAAGGAACGGCACGCGAGCTATTGCGTGTAGCCGGTCGAGTAGAAATCTCAATGGAAGTCTCGGGGTCAAGTGAACAAATTCAACGGCGGGACGCGGATAATCCCGTAAAAACGTGCATCGGGCAACGGAACTCGTTCCCTCGCTCCACAGAAGCACCATGATTGCAAGTGTGCCAGACTCTGCCGCGAGTACGTAACCGCTAACCCTCCATTGCATAACGCGCTCGATCGGGGAACCAAGATGAAGAATCCCTGTAAAGTTCATCGAGGGAACTGTACAGGATTTGCGCCAGACGGTTTCTTACAGGGACGTCTAATACCTCTACAAATTGGAATACTTATCAATTCATGAATTCAACGGGGTGAGATAATTCAAGTAACGCGAGCTGGTTACTTTGAAACCATATCCACTAGAATTTTCTGCAAGGATTTGATAGAGGAATGTACCCTGAAGAAAAGGATATCTCTTTAGAATATTTCAAATAAGTTTCTAGAAAGAATTTAAGTACGTCTTTTCAGTTTAAACAAATTTTGAAGCTTATCCCCAACCTCCCGACGAATTTACTTAACACCAAACAGTTCAACCCCTGTCCCATTTAATACAAATAAAACCAGACCAATTTTATTATTAATTTAAGCACACTTTTTCATTGAAAAAAAAGTGTAAAGCTTATCTTTTACCTCCCGGCAAATTTACTCAACACCAAACATTTCACCACCTGTCCTACCTAACAAAAATAAAACCAAGTGAACTTTTGTACCGAATCTTCTAACATTATATTCGGTCCATTCCGCGCACGAAAACCTTTCTCTCTCGAGACACAAAATAAAATTCACGCAACAGCGGCTTAACAAGATCTACTCAACCTTGTTATCCGTCAGAACCGGTTGCTTCTTCGTTTCTGCGAGTCCAGCGACCGATAAAACCGACGGATAAATGTTTGCATCCCGCGCACACACGATAAAAAGGAGAAAAGGATGCTGTAGCCGTTGGAATGAGATCATACGATGAAGTTGTTCGCATGTCAGGATCGCGGTATGGGCGTAGTATCCGCGCAGCTTTATGTTATTCGATAAAACACCGGAAATCCCTCGTACATTCGAACGCAAGCCGCGTTGTTTACGGGACAACGAATTAACGTTTGCGCCTAGTCTTCGGCCGCGATGTAAATCTACGGGAACTGACGATCGCTGGATTTATTCTACGGTCTAATTTCGCGGATCCAGTGAGCTGTTCCATCGAGGAAGTGAATTGTTCGCGCGTTATTACAGGATACATATTTCAGAACGAGTGCTCGATGCTTGGGCGCGGTTCGATTGATTTAATTCTTTCAACGACGAAGAGAATCGCTGAAACCAGTTAGGATAGGTAGACTACTAGTTCGAATTTGTAAACAAATTAATGGTGAACTGAAATTCTGTCCAGCGCTGCATTGTTTGCAGTCAAGAATCTAGAGGCTCAACTGTTATTTCCAACGTCAGCCCGTGGGGCCATGACGTCGAAACCGACAAAGGTATCCACCGATCCGTGAAATATGTTTTCACGAAGTTGCCAGTCGTCTTCGACCATGTGCTGTCATCCTGAAAATTCACTGCGAGACGCAACTGCTCGGAACGCGTACACCGACGCAATAGCGTTAATGAAACTTCTCATTTGTATGCCGCGAACGTACGATCGCTTAACGCGCGGCGTAACGGCTCGCATACGCTTTGACTGTTGGCTGTTTGTTTATACAACTATACGGAAACATCGGCGTGAGCAGAGTGACCCGCAGGACCTGCGTCGCTATCAAAGGACAAACCGTGGTTCCTGATAATCGATTACTTCTAACCATTGCGAACCGAATCCTCTTACGTTGTCGGTGTACCTCGATTATTGCAGGATATCGGGACGAGGGTTCGGGCAATAATCGAGGTAATCCAATGAGTAGTAGGCTACTACCAACCTTAACGACCATTAGTGACCGTGAAGGAGGCTCTCATGCAAATTATTGCATAATGGATGCAATAGAGGTTCGCCGATGGAGAATCTAGCTAGTTGAACGAAGCAAACTAGCGAGGAAGCTTTCGAATTATACCTGATTGCAGAAATATTTGCAATTGCGCGATTTTTCATCTCTGACTCGTGACCTCGTAAAATATTGCGATAATCAATGCTTGTGCCTAACAGTACGCACCGTGTCAAACCAGAGAGCGATATAAAAATTTGTGTTAACTTATTGGCGTTTCCTTGTACGTTTTCAAACGTCGCGAGTTATCAATGCGCCCGTGAGTTGCGTAGATAACTTGCACGCGTCTGTTTGAAACGAGGTTAACGGTATACTTATACGATTACGACTAATTATTGCGTATATTATTGTTGCGTGCACACCTTACCTTCGCAACAGGCATAAGGTTGTTATTACCAACGCTGTTATTAATGCGTGTACTTTTCGTAACTCCGAGTCTTTGTAAAAATTAATTTGAAAACGACACGTGTTCAAAGCACCTAACGTACGAGTGTAAGCGACGCTTATCCTGGTGGAACATAATCTCTGCATTCGCAATGAGCATATACGCGATTACTAAATAAATATGGCGTTGGCGAAGGTGATGTAATAAGGCAATAAAGTAGTATGAACGAGGAGAGTGAAATCGAGTTTAATCCATATTTAAATCTGTTCGACTTAATTGATAAATATAGTGATTCATCGCATTCTCGATGACTCGAAGGTGCGATGAATCAGTAGGAAGTGATATAAAAGACCTAAAGGTCGAAACGTTCGTTGCAAACAATAAGACGTTTAGGGAAATATAACATAACGAGACATTTTACTTTGTATTCTCTCTGAACTTTGCCCCACGCTGTCCCTCGTTTTCGTTTATAAATTTGCTGTCGGAATGTAATTAAAAACCTGTGAATAATTACAATGCAACGCAATGGTTATACAATTACTCGTTCTCGAAAGAAACTATTTATCTTCGGAAGATTACCAAGGTTATCTGAGCAAGCAATGTCAGGAGTCTTGCTTGTATTCGCTGGTAAAACACAACAACGCGAAATACATATTCTATAAACGTGCGATACATCGAAGAATGACGTAACGCGTTTATGCCTCTTGCATTTCGATTCGCTTTGCTCGTAGTACGGTGCGAGCATTTCCTCGTCGCTTAACGGTGACAGAAAGTATCTTTATACAGGGGGGTAGATATATTTTAAGACGGAAACGGTGAAACCAATTACACGATTCATTTGACGGCAATCAGCGACACGCTATGATTACGGGCTCGTTAATAATTGTTCCAGCGCGTTACGCGACTTTGACTTATGAACAAGACTCCTAGGTCCAATTACCCTGCAACGAAGGTAGTCAACGGGAAACTTAGTAACAATGGTTCCCGTACTGCTCGTAAT